CTGAAGCATACATCTAAAAACGACAATAACATTGGCCGGCGACAGCCTATGACGTCATTACCCTGCACGACCACAGTATAAAAGGGCGCCGGGATAACATGTCAGCCGCTTCTTCGTCTGAAGCTTGCGTCCGAAGCATGGCAAGGAAACTGGAGGACGCATTGTCTCGTTCCCTTCTCAAGGAACCATGGTTACATAAGTAACCTGAGACGAACTTTGAACTGCGTCCTCTAGGGGTCGCTATGGGGAACGGTATACCCACGCCACCATGCTGAGGGGAGTGCATGCCAGAAAACCACGGCGAGCACTAAGTACCAACTCTACCATAGCCATGGGAGTTGCCCCTAGGACGCCCCTAGGATGCCTGTCAGTGACATTATCCCCTCCGGCCAAGGGCCTGAGCTGCATACCCTAAACAACTTACCTGATAGTGGCTGGGCTGGGAAGCCCAAGCCTAGGGCAGAGCTCAAGGCTTGGAATCAGAAGAAAGAGATTCCTTTGAGGGGATACGGCCAGGTGTCTAAAAACCAAACCAGACCCTGGCCTGTCACCCAGGGGGGGCTACCACCGGATCTGAATAAACCTGCTCAAAGAACTGACTCGACAGATCTTTGGTAGCAACACCCTGCTCAGAAATGTATCAGCAGAGAGACATTAGTTGAGTGGCGCCCAAGGCGAGAACCGGGGCCTAAGCCAACTCGGAGAAAGGGAACGAGGCTAACAGTGCATAACCCTTAACATACAGGATTTTAGAAAGTGTGCAGAATGCTTAGCGTGCACATGATGAGGGGAGCACAGCTAGCTCACTTAACAAGCAACCCGCCAGGGAGGCAGGCAATGGCCCAGCCGCCTGGCATGATTGCTATACGGAGCTCAAAAGAGCGGAGGCCAATCTTCAAAAATAGATGAGGGACTCGATGCTCAGATCGAGAGGGCGTGCTCATATGAACCCCCAAGGGCATTGCTAAGCTCGACCCCAAGAAGAGCGGCTCAACAGGAAGGCGGAGAGAGGCCTAACAACCTGAGACCGCTACTCAATGGAGCTCAAACTAGCGGAGGACTCGAAAAGAGAGGTTCACAAACGCTCAGACGGGAGCGGCAGGCTCAAAGACAACCCTCTGAGGTGAGGGGAGCACTGCCTGGCTTGACCCGAATAGAGGCAGCTTATCAGGGAAGCAGCAAGCGGCCCAACTACCTGATGTCACTGCCGCGGAGTTCAAGAGCGGAGGGTTCAACCCCTAGCAAGGAGAGAGAGGAACCCAGCTCGACCGAAGCGACCAATAGCCCAGGGTAGAGGACCTAACTCTCGAGTCAAGAGGAGGACTCACCCAGTCTGCCCAGGACCGGCGAGCTCAAAGGGACCCTCCTGCAGTGAGGGGAGCACAGCCATGTCCGGGGGCAGATAGATCCAACATAAAGGCAACTGACCAAGGTGGCAACAGAGACGGGCCTAACACTTAGTTCGTGGCAAAATGGGGTTCTTCAGGAGCAGCGTTCTCGGCTCTCAAGCTGAGGCGGGCCCTTACAGCACATACTGGGAGCGACTCACAGCTAACCCTCACAGAGAGGGGAGCACTTCTCAGCTCGACTAGAAGGGGGCGCTATAATAGAAGGGGTAACCCAGCAGGGCCCAATAAGAGACAGACCACTGGTGCAGCTAGACACAGTCTCATGCTCTCTATCTCGATCACGCATCTCGAGAGCGTGGGTCCCGTATAACCAGACCCGACAGAATCTGAAGAAATAGCGGGACCCAATAACCATTCATGTGTATAGAGCTTACTGCTCCTCAGAGCAGAAGCACAAAAGAGGGGTTTCCACAGAAACATAAATCCCTCTTACCTCAGGGAACGCAGTGTACTCCAGTCCACTCCGCAGAGGGGTGATTACTGGTTCAACCATAAGGGCAGTGTGACAGTGAGGACCCACGGGCCCGACCGTCTATGGAGCGTTGATCTCCTCAATGCCTCAGCGAGAGGAGCTCTAGCTCAGAGAACATGTATGAAGGTTTAGGAACGATTAAAATCTCGGGAGACCCCTCAGGGTGAGAAATGAGTAGTTCGCAGATAGCCAGAGGATAGGGAGCATGTCACCAAGCATGTACTCAGAAGAGTACTAGCCCACGAGAAGGACCCACAGTTCCTGAGGTTGCAGCATTATACTGGGGACCTGATGCTGGGTAGCTTCCTCAGAAGTCCAGGCTGCGTGTCAAAGCCGAAGATGAGGACTATCACCAGCGTGGATTCAGAACCGATGAGTAAAACCATCACTGTAATTGGTCAACAGCAGGAGGTCCTGACTTAGCAGGTGGGTCAAACCTAAAAGTCAGAAAAACAGAACAGGTCCGGGTAGCGCTGCAGAGAAAGGCTAGCATCGAATACACAAGAACTAGCAGTAGAGTAGATAAAAATGGATCGTACTCACCAACCATGGCTCCCGCGCATGACTCAGGCTCATGGATATAGGCTGGAGGTGAAGTCTGAAGCCTGGACCTTCGTGGAATGAAGGATTTAAAGGTAGCCGAGCGCATCTTGGCCTCCTTAAACTTCACGACCACCGTCTTGACGGAAGTGCCGAAAAGCTCACTTCTGAATGGGAAACCGGCGCATCAAGAAGAAAGCCCTTCTCTTTTGACCTGATATCCACCATATTCACCCACAGATGTCTCCCCGTAACCACCATGATCTGCCAATGGCAGTGGCAGCCTGCTTAGTGGCACGGAGAGCAAGATCCGTGGTACGACGCAACTCAGCCACCTCATTAGGAGATAGACCCTGCCTTTATCCACTTTCAGCAGATCAGCCTGAAAAGCCTGAAGCACCGCCATGGTGTGCAACGAGGCTGCAGCCTGACCTGCTGCCGCGTATGCCCTGCCATTCAAATAAGATGTATCATGAAGGGGTTTGGATGGCATAGAGGTAGCCTTAAGAGAAGATGTCTTCCCCATAGAGAGATAGCAGGCCAGCGTCTCTTCAACAGGGGGCATCTTTTCATAACCATCCCCTCGATGTTGGCACAGCTAGCATGCTGGAATCTGTGGATGCGGGACGAGAATGGATTTTTCCAAGCCTTCTCGATCTCCACATAAAGATCGGGAATGAATGGAAGGCTCTTTTTTTTTTTTTTACTTCAAGCCGGAGTGCAGTATAATGTGGTTATCTGAGAAGGACATGATATAAATCATCTGTCCAACAATTGCAGACAGATCCACAATATACACTTCCTTATATAAATGGAAAAAAAGGAAATTACTGATAGGGAGAAATTTCCCGTCAGGTCCTTTCCATGTTCTCACCGCGACCGCAACGCGCAGCATGCATTCAGCTCCCGCCCAAACACTAGATTACCTCAGAAATCAAGCAAGAACGGAAACCGCTGCTGCGAATGCGAATGCGAATCCCTAACCGCTATTCCCGCGAGTGGCGAACGCACTCATGCAAACACTATCTACAAACTCGTGTAAATGGTGAAGTACTCACCTCCCCCTCAGTAGTCCCGCAAATGCATCACGATGAGCACAAGCCGTCTCCTCGTGAGATGAGTGCGTTCAATTCATGCTTATCCCTCACAAGAAATAAGCAATGAATGGAGAGCGCATCCAACTCCCTCGAGAGCTGAATGCACTTGCTGTTCACCACACACACACAACACGCAAGCCGTGTGAAACTGCAGGTATCAGAGCAAAGCCTCTGGCGAGAAACATGCACTCCTAGTCATGCTTAGCTTAATACTAACATAAAGAAGCGGTCAGTGAAGACGAAGAAGAGGATGACGTGTTATCCCGGCGCCCTTTTATACTGTGATCGCGCAGGGTAATGACGTCATAGGCTGTCGCTGGCCAATGTTATTGTCGTTTTTAGATGTATGCTTCTGACACCAGTCACGCTGAAGGCGTTCCCCATAGCGACCCCTAGAGGACGCAGTTCAAAGTTCCCTTGAAAGGGAACTAAACAAAAACACAAGCAACATCTGACAATTATCTGCAAGTACAGTGTTTTTAAAGGGGTCACGACATGGATTTTTTTTTTTTATTTTACAGGTTTTTTCAACTGCTTACACACAAAATCTTTACTTGTCACACAATTTCTGAAATCTGCAAATCTGCAAAATCTGCAAAACCAAATCTGCAAAACCAAGTGTCTTTGTGAACTCTCCATGACACTGTGCATCATTCACAAAACAAAATGCTCTGATCAATCCTCTGATATGATCTGGGGTGCCATTAATGCCACTCGAGCGCTGGACTGTGTCAGAAAGCAAACGCGAATAGAGAACTGTGTGTTGTGTTTTACAAAACGTGTTTTATGAAATTGAAAACTGAGTCAAAGGCTGAGAATTAGTGTATGGTTTTGCAGATTTGGTGTGTGCTTCCAATTTGTGCAGAAATTGTGTGACAAGTAAAGATTTTGTGTGTAAGCAGCTGAAAAAACTGTAAGTGATAACATTTAAAGTTAATTTGTAAAATGAAGCAGGAATATTTTAAAGTGTCTTAAGTGTCTCAGATCATTCAGGAGAACAGGATCATCAGGGTTTGAGTTTGTTATGCAGATGTTGTATATCTGCAAGTACAGTGTTTTTAAAGGGGTCACGACATGGATTTTTTTTTTTTATTTTACAGGTTTTTTCAACTGCTTACACACAAAATCTTTACTTGTCACACAATTTCTGAAATCTGCAAATCTGCAAAATCTGCAAAACCAAATCTGCAAAACCATACGCCTTTGACTCAGTTTTCAATTTCATAAAACACGTTTTCCAAAACACAACACATTATTCTCTATGTGACACACAAAAATCTAACAGGAACTAATATTATGGCAAAGGTGTTTGCAAATGTTTGCTTTTGAGATGAGTTATATTATTTTGAATAATATATGTAATATATTATATATGTAATAATAATATTCATGTTTTGAAAATGTAAGCAGTTGAAAAAAATGGTAACATGTTCCTTGAGGTTTACTTATAATGATAATAAAGTTTTTTACACAAAAAACAACAACAAATAAATATGTGGAAAAATTATTATTTTCAACCCTCATTCGGTCAGAATGAGGGTTGAAAATAATAATTTTTCCACATATTTGTTCAATCAATATATATATGATGTTAGCCAATCACAACAGCAGCTGATTACTGACAAGCCTTAAAGGACACGCCCCTTAAAACAGCTCATTTGAGCTGTTTTAAGGGGCGTGTCCTTTAAGGCTTGTCAGTAATCAGCTGCTGTTGTGATTGGCTAACATCATATATATATTGCTTGATGTATTGTTGGCTATTGCTACAAATATACCTGTGCTGCTTATGACTGCTTTTGTGCTCCAAGGTCACATCTGTCTTGTGTTCTCTCTGTCCATCTGTCCTCAGAGCAAACAGAGCTCGTCCTACTCGGACAGAGACACCACGGAGGACGACTCGGAGTCTCTGGAGGACATGGACTTCTTGAGCCGACAGAAGAAGCTGCAGGCCGAGGCCAAGCTGGCTCTCGCGATGGCCAAACCCATGGCCAAGATGCAGGTGGAGGTGGAGAAGCAGAACCGTAAGAAGTCTCCTGTGGCGGATCTGGTACGTGTGCTTCACTCGCGCTAGCCAGAGCCGATCGCTCAAATACAAAGAGTCATTGATTACAGAAAGACTTCTGTCAGTCAGGCAGTGCTGGGAAGGTTACTTTGGAAATATAATAGGTTACAGATTACAAATTACTCTACTTAAAAAGTAACAGTAGTGTAACTATTTCAATTGCTTTATTAAAGTAATGTAACTGATTACATTTGATTACTTTTCTAAATGTTTTCCACTGTTAATAATATTGAAGCATGTAAAGCAGGCAGGGTAACATTACAGTACACAACACTGATTACTGTCAGACTTTCAGTATCCGTCATCATTTGAATTAAGATTATAATCATTTAATTTTAAAGCACAGCCACCACAGAATCAGACTTACTTTGAGATCATTCTGAGGTTAAATACAGATTTAAAATCATAACAAGAAGTAGTTTAATAGCTATGATGCTTTTATTTTTAAATCAAATCTTTGCATAGCTACGACAGGAAACACTGGCGTCTAACAATGTCTTGGAAAAAACTTTAAAAAAATAAATAAAGTATTTACATAAACCTATCAAATAGGAAATAAAACAGTTATCGAAATATGTCCTAATCTCCTGAAACACTGGTGTCTTATATTTTAGAGCAGTCACAGCAATTTATGAAAGAAATCAATAAAATCTGTATGTGTGTGTGTGAAAAAAAAAATCAGATGGACCCCTCTTTGTAATCGTTAACATTTCATAAGTAACTGTAATTTAATTACACATTGCACAAAAGACCACTTAAGTGACTTAAAGAGAGACATTCCCATGACTTTCTCAATGCACATTTAAAACGTGACCTTAGTAATAATGTCAAACTAAATTTCAAAGGCAATAGACTTAATTATGAAATCACATTTAAAGATGTACTGAAGTCCTACTCAAGCAGCTAATTACATTTAATATAAATTGCAACTATATTACTTTTTCATTTAATTGTACATTAACATGCAATTAAGTGTCTAAAACATTATATTTATTTCACACTTATATACAATACTATATCCTATTAATGTACACTGCCATTCAAAAGTGTGGGATCAGTAAGATTTTTTCTCTTATGCTCATCAAGGTTGTATTTATATGATCAAAAACATATTGTGAAATATTATTGCAATTTATAATAGTGGTGTCTTATTTTAATATACTTTATAAATCTTTTGTTATTCTGATATACTAAAGAACGTGTAAAGTACTTGATTATCATTTTATATGTAGAGTGTAATTTCATATTACATTTAAAATTCATATATTTTAATGTACTAAATTGAAACTTCATTATTACAAATTACAAATAATTCATGACATACAAAGTTTCAATAGAAATGACATTAAAGTTTTAAAGTATTTTAGTTTATCATGAATGCTTGTCAGTACATTCAGCAGTACTTTAACCATATTTCAAAGGCAATAGACTTAATTATGAAATCACATATAAAGATGTACTGAAGTCCTACTCAAGCAGCTAATTGCATTTAATATAAATTGCAACTATATTACTTTTTCATTTAATTGTACATTAACATGCATTATATTTATTTCACACTTATATACAATACTATATCCTATTAATGTACACTGCCATTCAAAAGTGTAAGATCAGTAAGATTTTTTCTCTTATGCTCATCAAGGTTGTATTTATATGATCAAAAACACAGTAATATTGTGAAATATTATTGCAATTTATAATAGTGGTGTCTTATTTTAATAAAACATAAAATGTCTTTATGTTTTAGGGTTGAATGTGTAGTCTGTGGTGTCCTTACACAGATGGAATATTATCATGACACACTATAGGTGACGTGCTTTGGTCAGTTTATATATAGGAATACAATCAAAGCAGTGATGGTGATATTAGCACAGTTCCAGGAGAAGGAGAGACGTCATGCGTTGCCTGCATTGAGAACGCCTCCGCTGCACCGCGGCACCGCTGAACTGAAACTGTGACACACCAGCTGCTCTCGGCTCTTCCTCCAGCGCTGAGTGACGCGATGAAGAGCGAGCGCGGCTCACGTCAGGCTCACGCTCGCGGGGGAATTCTCCCGCCGCATGAGAAACCCACGCGAGAGACGGACAGAGAAACTCTCACAGCACTGCTGCACATGAGATCATCTCCTCTCAACTTGCAGAGGTTACACAGTCAGTGCAATGGGTTTAGACAGTGCGGAGTGACTATATTGGCTGTATAACACCACCTCACATCAGAGCTGTTACTCTGTCGTGTGTTAAACGCCACTGAAACCAGTCAACATCCACAGCTCCAGTCTGTGTGCTAGGGACAAGACCATTCTCAGACTCCGAATGCATTGCTGAACTGTCCAGTGCCTGTAGACGTGAATGCACAGCTGATGCAACGACATGCGACTCTCATTTAAACACACTTTTATCAGTCATAACTTGAAAGTTTCACACACACACTGTCACATGGAGTATACAGTACTTGTGTGTCAAAACTGAAGTAGACTTTAGGATTGAGACAGCAGGAAAATCCGATTTTATCACATATCCACACACACCTCTGTTAAAGCATTTGATTCTTTCATATATATATATATATATATATATGCTCCATTGAAACTTGGAGACCTGAACACACTTGAACCACTTTTAGTCAAGTCACATTCTTTTTTATAGTGCGTTATGCAATACAGATTATTTCAAAGCAGGTTTCTAGAAACAACCAGGAAAATAACAGTGTTGCAAAATTCATTCATTATGAAACATTTTCACTTTCAGCTACAGCATAAGCGGCGCTACAGAAAGTAACAGTGTTATTATTCAGATCAGATCAGTTCAGAATCAGCAAACCTATAATATTACAGAATATTAATTAAAAGAAATAGCATCATGGTCGTCTTCCAGTTTCCTGCATATGAGAGTAAATCTGTATATATAATGCATTGATACTAAAACCTTTAAAACCTGCAACAACCTGTATCCTATATCAAACCACATGTCCAAATATTCTGTGATTTTGAGTGAACAACAGTCTGAAACGTACTAAGCAGAAGTGATTTCTCCTCTCTAGTAAGCTTCTAGCTTCTTTGTCTTTTAATGATGTGAAATAGTGACTCGTGCGTTTAACTCTTCACATCTGGGTTACTGCAGTTGACTTTAGAGCAGGATTAATCTGAGTGTTACAGTTACACAGAAGCTTTAATGTAACCCTGATCTCTGCCTCGCTTCACTGGCCACAGAGTGAACATTCACTAGCGTATAAACCCAGCTCATTATTGTCTTGCGCCGCTCATATCTGTCTAAAATGGGGAAAACCTTAGAATAGGAAGAAGCTCAGAGCAAGTGAACTGATGTGAAAGTAAAACTGCAGTGTGTCAGACTGAAGCGAGTCCTCATGGGAACTTCAGATGGGTGATTTACCTGAAGAATTACCATGTGTGATACTGGTATTTGTAATGTGAAAAACCTGCTTTAGTTTCTGTGAAGAGATCTGCTGTTCATGCTTATTTTTATTCAATACTCCAGTCAGACTTCACTATCATAACCCCGTCATTAGAAATAATAATAGCGCATGATTCTCTGGAATAGCTGACTCTGATTGGTCAGTGGTGTCATTAACATAATGATGATCAACTGAGTAACTGATTTATTTCATAGATTAAAGAGATGAAATCATGATGTAGCATCCTTTTCAAACAACATTTCCAACTAAAATCTTTACCAATATACATGTTTAATCACAGTCAAGAACAGCATCATGATATCAAATCAGACACGCTACTAACTGAAATCAAAGCCGTGTGTTTCTCAACATCGTCACTTAAACGACTGATAATTAAATCTGGAAAATGTTAAACTCGCATCAGACGAGCGGCTTGTTTTCACTCAAGACAACCGATTGTAATTTTATTTCTGAGAATTGTTTCCCGTTCTCTAAATCCCTCCATTACTTTTGTGCAGCTTTCTGAGAATCAGTTACTCTGAACATGATCTGAATCCCTTTCTCTGAACAACTTCCTCCAGCCTCAGATTGTCAAGTCCATATTTTCATGTATGCTTTTTTTTTTTTTAAATACTCTCACTTTGAACAGTACTGACCATCTCTAAACAGAGCAAAACAACCAATACCTAAATACTTGAGCTAGACAACACTAGAAATACAATAGAGCTAGATCGAAAGACTCTTTCTGTAAAGCTGCTGTGGAAGCGTGTGTGTTCAGAAAAGTACTATACTAATAGATTTGACCTGACATATTCCTGTCTCTCAGCTTTACGCTGGATCCTGATCACATGATGATTGCTTCAGACTGTACATTATCACTCACATGATTCATGTGTTTGTGTGTGTGTGTGTGTGTGTGTGTGAGTGAGTGTGTGTGTGAGTGAGTCTCTGTGTGTGTGTGTGTGTGTGTGTGTGCGTGCGTGTGCG